ATTTTTCAATTTCATCATTTGATTCAACCAAAAGAAAACATTAACAAACACAGAAAGTTATATGTAACAAAAATAATACACGTTTTATCACATTGTTACTTATTTCATTAAAATCGTTGACCAATTCTCACTGTTGTCTTTATAGTCATTTCCCCCCTTTTTTAGCCGCGGAAATTCAAACAAACAATAATGTCAAGCACACTACATTTTACAGATAACAGAATATATTCAATATCGATTAACATTTCTGAATCTTTATAACGACAGAAAGTTCACAATTTTGGATAAACATTTTGTTAAAACAATGTAACACAATATAACAAACAGTGAATATCGCCCTATGGTTTTCAGTTAGCACTGTATTAGTTTTTTAGCTTTAAAATAAGCTTTATGGAAATATTTTTTTACTCTTATGTATACTAGGGTAAATACGTGCCCGTTTTGTAACGAGGCCAAACTTTATAACTAACGCAATTATTTGAGTTTTTTAATTGTGAATTATCTACATTTTAATATAAACGGTTTTACTTGCGGTTATATAAATAAGCACTTTAGATTTTAAGAGTTTGTAAAATGAACTTTGGAATCGCAACATAGATTTTTTAATTAACACCTGTTATTAGAGGTTCAGCATGAGAATAAAATTGCTTTATTTTCTCCAGTATTTTATTTTAAGTTGCTGACAATATGTTGAACTGATTTCAGCCATTTTTCATGACATTTCTGTGAAGTATAATACTGAGCTCTGTTCTACATTATAGCCAATTCTTCAACCTTTTTACTTGGAGTTGTTTGACATTAGAAAGTGCGGCTTTTGCTAGATAACTGGTTAAACCGCTTCTAACAGTTCTTGAAACAAAACTAATAAATCATTAGAAAACAACTTATTTCCTTTAAAGAAATAGGTATTATTCGTATATATTAACAACATAAAGTAAAATGAAAAATACCATATTAATTAGGAATGTCATATTTTTCTAGAATTTAACACATTTTACTGTTTAAATCTGAGGGATAATGTATGCTGAGTTTCAGACCTTTTTAACCAAGCCTAAGTATATTTGTAATTCTGTAGCTATTCATTGGTATAAAGGCAACATAAGTAATATATTTGAAAGAGTGAAAATGGTAGTTTTTCAGTAATACACTAGACAATGAGACATAAGTTCTAGGTATGGTTATCTCAGTGTGAAATGTCTTCCTTCCTGAACACTTTGTCAATCCATAAAAGAATCTAGAGATTTTTCTATGTCAGTTACGTTTCGTTCAGGTAAGTATTCATTTCAGCACGAGAGAAGAAATACCCATGATATTACAACTATTTAAAAGATCTGCGTATGTGTAACATCCACTCATACCAGCTCAATAAATGAAGAACATGTAGAACGATTTGCAAAACCCATGTAATCAAGGAACTTATAGAAAGTGCTTAAGTATAATTTAAGCAACTGATGAGGTAAAACTCTGTATTAATGAAACAATACTCTTTATCTACAAGAATACTGATGATAGGATGAAGATAATTCACATAAACACTGGACAGCAGTTTGAGAATAAAGTGTACTGCATTGGAAAATAATAAAAAATATTAATAAATTAGTTCAGATACAGTTATAGTTGACGATAAGTTAAGAGATTAAAACACTAACTAAAAATGGAAACTTTAAGTACAGAAACATTTGTTGGTTAGCTAATGGCTTGAGACACTGAACTCAGAAAATCCTCTCTATGCTCTGCTGCTGGGTTCAATCTCTCATAACAAAACAACAACATCTGAGCTGCAGAAATGACGCAAAAAGTGCAATCAATCATGCTCTAGACATTCTGGCACTTTTTCTATCTCGCACGTCAGATTGCTTCAGTTCTTGTGGATCGTTCCACAAAACACCTCTGCCTTCTCCCAAAAAATAACAAAAAATATGAAAACAAGTTCCCCATGCAATCGAACATTGAAGAAAAATAACTGAACATTTTTTTCATATTGTTAGTCAGAAACTTCCTTAACGTTGTACATTGCTTGACATTATAGATCTTAGATTCCCACACTGTATAGGAATGGCACATAATGTCATAAAACAATAGGATATTAACGTATAGGAATGGTACATATTGTCATATAAGAATGGGATATTAACGTATAGGAATGGTACATATTGTCATATAACAATTGGATATTAACGTATAGGAATGGTACATATTGTCATATAACAATGGGATATTAACGTATAAGAATGGTACTTAATGTCGTATAACATTTTGATATTAACGTATAGGAATCGCACACAATGTCATATAACAATAGCATATTAACGTTCACACTGAAATCAATGCATAACTCACCTCTCCATCATCTGTTTCCAACATAATAACACAGAAACCATAACTCAAACTAAATTTAAAATCATCATCACCAAACTAAACTCATTAGAAAATTTACTCACACAAAAACACACAGCTGTCTAACGGATGCTGTGAACTGTGAACATATAAAACATATTTACCAAATGTTCTTTTAAGATCATAGGCTAAATAACCGATCAAATGTGTATAAGGA